GGGCACCTTTCGCATTAGCAGTGGTGGAAGCAGCATTGAAGCTTTTGTATCAGGCTTTGTACCTGGCGAAATATTTTTTTTAATCAGCTTCTGGTGCTTTTGGAGGCGACGTCATCCCCTGTTAGCCCGTCACTTGAAATTAAAAATGTGATTGCATCGCTAAATGAGTTCGTATCTCATAATAATTGAGGGCCTTGTTTAAATTGAAGCATAATATTTATTACCTTTTTGTAATAAGAATATACGATGCAAAAAGAACGCAGAACCTTCTTTTTAGAAATAAGGAGCCCTCAGGTCAGAGTAATTTTAATTTATAATAAATTTTTAATTGTTAAAAAGTTCAGCATTGCTCAACACTTCGGATGATATAAAGTATTTTTTCCTTCCTCTTTTACAATCGGTAGTTAATTTAGTGGATAAATAGAATCTTTCTAAAATACCGGCCAAAATCAGCATATCCTCTAAAACGTTTATCAATAAAAATACGTACCCCCAAAGTTTATGAACAATGAACTCAAGATTTTAATTACATAAGATGCAAAACCAACCACCCGCCCATGTTGTGAACATCTTAATTTGTGTTTTAAATGTGACACTGCGTTTTAGCGACGTTCGAATCAGAGTTGATGCAAAGTTCGCTGCCCTTTCGATTGACCACTGTACGGAAACTACCTGGACTAAAGTATTTATTCAAATATAGTTCTACGTTATCTCTATTTTCTCTGCTCAACGTTTTAATATCAAAGTTCAATTTACAGTCAAGACCAAAGAAGTTTCATCTGTATTAGCACTGAACGTATACATTACTCGCCAATCATGCTAACCCAGTGCACTTCCCTGAGGGGGTGCCTCAGGGAAGTCTACTGGGACCCTTGTTATTCCTTATAATTACTAACGACATTTGCGAGGGAATACAGTCAAATATCAAGTTATTTGCAGATGATTGTGTATTATACAGAGTTAAAGAAAATGACGCAGACGTCTGTATGATGCAAAAAGATTTAGGAATGTTGAGCGCTGGTGCGATCATTGGGAAATGGGCTTGAATATAAAAACGTGCAAATACATGTGTTTTACTCTATCTATTGTTAGAACGGCTACATATAAGATAAAAAATTATAAACTTGAGCAGGTAGATAAACACAAGTATTTGGGAGTTAATTTTTCAAATAATCTAAGATGGAATGACCAGATAGATAATATTGTAGCAAAGGCAAGTAACATGCTATTTTTTTAGCTGGAGAAATTTTAAAAATACATCTCGTAGCGTAACAAAAACATTATATTTTTTTTATCACACCAATTTCGGAGTATGCTTGTGTTATCTGGGATCCGCCTCACCGTTACTTCACGAATAAGTTAGAGCGAATTCAAAATCAGGCATCAAGGTTTGTCACAGGCGATTCTAGTCCGTACTCGAGCTGTACAGAAATGAAGAACAGACTCGGTTGGGACCTTCTTAGACAGTGTTTGCGGTTAAATGTTTTCACAATATATATCACGGGGAAACAGGCATTCAAAAGCGTCTTTACATTCTTGAACCACACCATGTACCTTCAAGGCGGAATCATTCTAAGACGGCGGCAGAGTATCGTTATCGTACCGACTGTTTTTGTTATTCATTTTTTTTTTCAAACCGCCCGGGAGTGGAATGCCCTTCCGGAAGAACTGATAGCTGTTATCAAAAATGACGTCTTTTATTCCAGACTGCAGAGAAGCGTGCTCGTATGAAAATGTAGTACTGAATGATTGTCGATTGCATTACTGAAAATGTCTTTTGAATGCGTTTTTCTTTTGTTCCCCTCTGCATAATACCTGTTGGCACAGCAGGTATTTGTGTAAATAAATAAATAAACAAATAACTTAAGCGCTCCCCACATCAGCCGCTGCTCCAAGCACTCCAGTGCAAAGCTGTTAAGCTCGACGCGCGCGCGTGTGGAGCTTCACCGTCTTGCTTTGTTACGCTGCTTTGCTAAAAAATCTATATTTTAGAAACATTGTAACACGTTCGTTAAACATCCCAGACATGTTACTAAAACACGAAACCTTGCTAACTATACGTAAAACTCCCTTGCGAGGCGTTTCTAACAATGGTTTTCTTTATCTAAGACTTTAGACTCGTTCCAAACAACACCGCAATCAGGAAAACCAGAAACATGCTTCCAGCTCCGAACATTCACATTTTAATGCGAAAGCATTAACTGGTTCCATGGAGCGAGCTGACGTCATCAGCTTTGAACCCGCACCGAACGGCACCTAAACTCCCCTGTACCAGTTGAAAGAAGTGAAGCTGCGATCTGATTGGGGGGGGGGGGGGGGGGGGGATAGGCTACCATTGGATGGTGCACGTCATCAAGGAAAGAGGCTCCTATTGGCTCTCGCGCGGCGTAGTTCCAAAAACAACGCAACCAGAAAAGTCCTTTCCATGGCAGCGCAGCGCACGCAGCGGCACGGCCGCCGGTGAGGTGCGGGCCTGGCCGCACAGCCCCTTCGGGCAAACGCTCCAGAAAGGTTACACGGCCGAGCTGAGCGCGGCACGGCCACTTCACGAGGGCGCGCGCTCGGCCGTCAGCCGCTACCTCGGCAGTAGCGAAACGTGGCTGTTCACGACACTACGCCGGAGATGAACTAAGGGAGCGGAAGAACGACATTCATGCTTTCGCATTCACAACTCATAAGAAGTGCTTGGGTGTCCTCGGACTTTTATTTTTTTTACCGCACACATGTGTTCGCGTAACCCATCGTTTGGCCACCTAGCAGTCTTACCTACGTAGGTAGCACCACATTTCAAAGAGACTTCACAAACAACCCCATGATCACAAGCCACCGCGGTTCTCTAAGCTTCCTGCTGCACTTCGCATTTTCTGACAAAAAGGGCGTTAATCTAGAGAAGCAAAACTCCTGTTCAAAAACTACAGTCACATCAAACTTATTTGCAATCGCCTTCAGGCATGAAAGTAAGGTAAGCAGGCAAACTTGATTTTATCTAAACCCTCTATGGGCTGCCTCTTAGCGCAAGTTAATTTTTGGAAAACAAGAGACGACACATCCACCCCACTATGATTCGCATGCGACAACCTGCCAGACTTGTCCACACCTCTCTTCACAATCTACGACTGACAACTTAATCTAGAAACCAAATATTTTGAGCGCGTCATCCCAAACTCCCAACAGAGACCAACTTTAACCAGAAACCTGATGCCCAAAAACTCCGACGTACATTTTCCCTCACAAAAGCCTCGAAGCAAATCCTCATCAGGCCCAAGTTAGGCCCTTAAGGCCCATACGCACATTCGCGTTTGAACGCGTTGGTGTGGGGAGCGGCGTCCTTGCGGCCAGAAGCGTTTGCTTGCGGCTGGCTTGCGGTACGATGCGCTCCGTCGTGCAGCGCCTCGGAACGCGCCGCAAGGGGGAAGAGACCGGCTCAACTTTGGGTGCGGCACTAGCGGCAGCGCGTTGCGTCAGACCAATCAGAAGCCGAGAAAGGAAAGGAGGGTGACGTGTTCGCTCGCGCCACTCGGCGAGGCTTATCCGGTTCTCCGTTCGCGGAACTTGCTTTTTCGTTTTGGCGAGCGGTGGGGACTGCCTTTTACAAGGCAGCGACGGTTCAAGCTTGACAGAATGTTGGAGAAGCCAGCAGGATTGCACCCAATATCGAACACTTCGAAAATGTTGCCGGGCGCCGCCATGTTTCCGTGGATTTCGCTTACTATTTGTGCGCCGCTAGGGACGATTGCGCGTTCTTATTGGCTTTTGACTCGGTGTCAACGCATCTCTGTGTACAAGCGTGGCGCAAGCGCTCTTCGCAACGCAACGCGTCTGCTCGCCGCTACGGAACGCACCGCGCTGAAACGCAATTGTGCGTAAAGGCCTTTAGGATGTCGCGAAACTGGGGCAAAGTACTCGTTTCGCTGGTGTGCCGCCTGAAAAGGTACCTAGAATTTATTATTTTTCAACAAGAGCTCGCAGAGGATGAATTAAATATATATATATATATATATATATTGTTCACTTTAAACAAAAATGTAAATGTGAACAAACATTCAAGTATGCAGATTTTCGCAGAGGCGTCATCAAATTTAATGCCACGTGAGAGAAAATAAAACTTCGATGCCATATTCTGATTATCTTTTTCTATAGAGGGTAGCGTTGGAATGCCATAATGGTGGTTGATGGTTGGTTTGTTCGTTCTATCCCACGTTAATATAGGGTCCTCTCTGCTAGCTATTGTATCAAGACAAGTAGGTGTAACTCATTTAGTAAAACACATACTACGAATCGCGGGCGATTGATCCCGATGTGCAAAAAGCTCTCTGATGCCCTTTTAAAGGTTTCAGAATATATAAAAAAATTGAAATCAACTTTGATGAGACATAAATTTGCATATAGGCATTGTTTTAACAAACGAAATGGTATTTATAAATTATTAATGAAATATTAGGTAGCTGCTTCTACAGTGCTATATTTGAATTTGTTGAGATTTTAGTGTCTTGTTGTTACTCTCGTTAGTAGTTTTAACTACCTATAAACACTATACTGTTATATATTGTGTTATTTAGGGAGTTGTTGGAAAATTAGATAGTGTGCAGGTTCTATATTTTTCAAATGGCACAAAACTGAATAATAAAAAGGAACACTTTTTCTGGCATTAAGATTTTCTTAAAGGGGCCCCTCAAAGTTTCATCCGCCCATATTAGAATAGTTTACTGTGGCGGTTAGTTTTCATGCTCAGTATCGCTCTTTAACCCTGAATAGAATGCACATGTGCTGAAGGCTGATTCAAAAACACTTGACTGAACACTTTCTGGATAGTAAATGTTATGATCATATTTATTATATAAAATTGTCGAGCTGGAGGAAACAAACCTTCACGAAGCTTTCCCCCTCGCTCAATAGGCCAGCTGGGCTGTTTGATCATCATTTCCTAATATCAGTCGGTCGACATTTCTGTAAAAGAAACACTCTAACCCATTAAGATCCTATTTTTTTTTTATTTACAGACATTTTTCGTCACGGGCGAGAACCCTGCATACATTTCGGTAGCGGAATTCAAGACCATAAAAGAGGAACAATTTACTGAAATTCCTGATATTGACGTTGAAAGAGACCTCATCGCTCTCTGCTTTACATCTGGTACAACAGGTCGTCCAAAGGCAGTCGAAGAAACGCACTACAGTTGTGTCGCTGGTTTACAGCCTTACAGGTAAGCAAGATTGCCTAAACACTAGCGGAAAAGTGCCGTTTCTCATCTACACATTATATTGATTAGAGAACACATATTGTAATCTTCGTTAAAGTAAAAGTTCCCTCTTCAGTTGATAAAGGCTCTTGGTCCTGACAATTACCTTAATACCCCCAAAGAACCAGAGACCGTGCATTCGGTGGCTTCTTGACTACCTGTTGAGTGTCGGGAGTATTGGTATGAAGTCCGAGTACGGCTGGGAACTGTTTCCATTTGTTATGAAGGCTTTATTAGGTATGGAAGGTGTTAAAGTTTGTAAAATGCGTCATTCGTTCTATGTCAATAAACCGGGTATCTGTATTGCGTGCATAAGAAATATATTTTGTACGCAGTACTGAGTAAACTTTTCACCAAGTGTTCTGAAAGCTCAGTGCCTGCTCAGAATGAGGCAGGTGTTTTCATAGCTCAATTTCTCCTTTGTGTTGATTGGATTCTCGTGTGTCGATAGGGTCAAATATTAGTTTGCCAGTGAACTACATCCTTAATACCTGAAACACACATTAAATTAAAAGATACAAATATTATATATTTTCAAAGGAAAACGCATGCCTTTGTGTCATCGCCTTATCTATAGCGGACGTAGAAATTCGGGACGAGGAGATACTACACCTCATGTAGACTGTGTATAATAATATCGGATGGTGCGATTACAACGTATAGAAGGGCCAGTAATGTGAATAGTCACGCCTTTTGGAAGGAGAGAAAGGGGGGGGGGGCAGCCATTTTAAAGACCCCTTTCTGGCCAAGTTTATGGAAAGACGATCGATTGCGGAACATTCAGTGCATCACAAAGTGCGCCACGTAGAACGGTAAACAGGCTAGTATGAACTAGCCCACCTCTCTATTCTGATCAGGGCGACTGACATAAGGTAGGCCATGAGTTTTTTCACTGTTTAATTATAAGGAAGATCGCCGGATGTTTTTCAGTGTATATTAAGTATTCAAAAAGATATGTCCCCGCAGGGTGCACCTGTGAAAGCAGGTGTTTAGTGAACGACGTCACCACGGACCCCTAGCCATGTGGGTTCGCCCACACACGTCTGTCTGTGCGTGGCTTTCCTGTGTAGGGAGAAAAGGGCCTCCTGGTGGTTGAGTCGAGCCTTCGGGGCCCCGCAAAGGATCCAAACCTTCGGGGGGCCCCGAAGTTTTGGACCCTTCGGGCCCCCCGGGCTAAACAACACACCACTTTGGCCCTCGCTTCTCGTAGACGGGAGTCCTGGTAAAGCCCGGCTAGGATCATTCAATCAGTCGTCTCTTTTCATCTCTCCTTTCTTTGTATTTTTTCTCCTTCTCCTCTTCTTTCCTATTTCGCCTTCTTTGGCGGCAAGGGCTAACACTGGGTGGCGATGGACCTCTGTCTAGATTCGCACTTAAGTGTAGTTTCCCGGCAGCACTGTTGGAGTAATGCCTCCAGCAAAGCCATCTTAGCTATGGTACGGTACATAAACCCTTGCTGGGCTCGGCAGTGGGCAGTGTACAGCGGATTCTGAGCACCCTTGTCCTTTTAATACGTCCCTCTCTTCTAATCCCCAGGCAGAGCGACCCCCCAAAATGGTTCGCCTTGCTCTCCCTACTTTTGCAAAAGCCAAAGAACCTGGAACCTGTTCACGTTTTCTTGCTGTTCACGCTGCAAACGACAGTCTACCTTTGCCAAAGATTTCACCTTTTCTTGTCTCTAAGATCGTAGAGCAGGCAATTGAAAAGAATCACAACACAAAAAACTTGCTGGGGGCCTCCTCGTTGAGGTAGAAAATAACGCTCAAAGCACAGCATTACTTAAGTTGGCAAGCTTAGGCGAACACAAAGACTCTGTAACCCCACACCGCACTCTGAATACTGTCCGCTGCGTCATCTCTGAGGATGACCTCCTTCAGTGTACTGGAGAGGAATTCCACAAAGGTCTGCGTAGAAGTGCCGTTGCAGCCGTGCGGCGAATCAACCTTCAACAGGACGGACGGGAGGTAGCAACCCGACATCTAGTTCTGACTTTTGAACTTTACTCTGTGCCTTCCACCGTGATGGCAGGCTACCTAAACTGAAGAGTTCATCCTTTCTCTCCAAATCTTCAGCGGTGCTTCCGTTGTGAGCGTTTTGGGCGTGGTTCCCGGCATTGCTGTGGCCGAGAAACTTGCGAAAAATATAGTGCCTCTGACCACGTCGCTGACATCTTCGAAAATGACCGTAAATTCATAAACTCTGGCGGACCAGACCCCGCGTTTTAACGCACAGGCCCGAAATGGAAGGAAGAAAAATAAATAATCACGTTTAAGGTCAAACACAATCTAAGCTAGCAAGACGCCAGAGAACAGCTTGCCTTCAGGGTATAGGGTTCATATGCCCAGGCAGTGCGAAAAAAGACCCCACTCTCTTTGGTATCCGTGGAGAAGCAGACTTCCCGGAAGACCTGTCTTCTCCGCAAGGGCCCTCTTCTTAAAGTCCGAAGACGGTGGGGGAACCACCGCCTTCAAGCTCCAATGAGGTTGTTGCGCCTTCTAAGGAGGGTTGTGCACCCTCCAAGGAGGCTAGCTTGCGGTCACCGGCACCAGCTGGCCCTTTTGGCCAGGGTCCGGGGCTGCGTCCTGATGCCTCTAGCAGCTTTTTAAAGCCTGGGTGGTCAGTTCCACCTCTGCCGCCCAAAGGTCCTAAGGTCTCAATGGATGAGAAAATGGATGAGAGTATCCCACCCTCCGACGAGGACCTTCCTTTCTCTGGATCAGGGTCTGTCTCCTCGGTCTCCTGCGAGGCTGCAGAATGGCCTAAGTACACAGCAAAAAAGAAAACTATTCCACGGATTGTGGCACCAAAAAACACATAAACTACATTTTACAATATTTTTGCATAACGCATATATCGAACCGTTTCCTTTATTGGAGATAAATGTATTTCTTCCTTCAGTGGAACTGAAGAAGCCTCTTGCCTGACTAAGACAATGGCAGCTATCTTTAAAAGGATCACCGGCCCATTGCATATTGTTTACAGAAAACGCACCAAAAAGACCACCCACACTAATGTTTTTCAACCCTTCGAGGTGCCTCGCAGGACGCTTACAGATGCAGCTAAAGCAGCTGGAGGTGTTCCGGTGGTTGTGCAACATTCAATTCCATGCAACGAGGTGGCCCTGCAGATGTCACTGGAGGCTGTGACTACACGCATTGTGTTAGATCGAAAAATTAGTCTGTTCTTTGTACCTACTTCCCACTTATCAGTTACATATGGAAGAGCTAGAAGACCTCGTTAATCAACTTCCTTCATCTTTTTTTTTACTTTTAGGAGATTTTAACGCAAACAATCTCATGTGGGGTAGTGACAGACGGGATTCTAGAGGGCCCTAGTCGAACGCTTTTTGCTTTTTATAGAATTGTGCCTGCTAAGCAGAAATGAATCCCCATATTTTAGCTCAGCAAATCACACTTTTACTTCTATTGACCTATCTATTTCTTACCTATCATTATGCGTATTGCTTTCGTGGAAGGCCATCCTGAATCGTCACTGAAGTGACCCCCTCCCCATCATCTTAGACTCCAACGAATTTCCCATGAGAGTCTCAACGCGCTTACCTCGTTGGAAGTTTGAAAACGCGACGTGGCCACCTTTCAAAGGAATCATCTCTTTTGCAAGCACATCCTTTGACGATCTTGATATTGACAGAGCCACTGAGCCTACCACTCCCCTTCTTCTCACCTCCTCTCCTCCCTCCTCCTCCACCCATCCTCCTTCCCCTCCATCCTCTCCCACTTTTCCTCCCCTGCTCTTTTTCCTCCTCCCTTCCTCCTCCTCTCTTGTGGGCCACGTGACGTCATAAGTGACGTCACGTGTGACGTTATTATGGGCAACGTCCCATAACGCAACGCGCGGTTACGCCGACGGCGATGGCGACGCCACTCAAGCCGGAAACGGGCGCCTAAGAGCTGCGGTCTAAAAAACTGTTATCACATCAGGTGCCACGCACGAATCCAAAATTGCTCTATTTACATTACACGAAGTTGAAATGGCACTTCTTTGTTCCAAACAAACTCCCCCTGGACGAGATGGTATTCATTACAAAATGCTCGAAGATATTCATCCATCCACTATGAAGATAATTTTGCACCTTTCTAATGGAGTTTGGCTTGAGGGCCGCTTTCCATCTTCCTGGAAGATTGCTGTTGTTGTGCCAGTGCTAAATCCCGGCAAAGAACCTTCTTGTGCATTGAGCTTCAGACCTATAGCCTTAACTAGCTGTCTTTACAAGACATTAGAAATGATTTGATTATAATGCAATTAAATGCAAAGGTGCAAGCGAGCTGCACAATAATGATGAAAATAATCCCTGGAGAAGGGGAACAAAAGGGACAAAGGACAAACATAAATCTCCAAACACAGCTACGTGACTGGTGCGCGACCGAAAAAATCCGCCTGGTCCGGGTATCGAACCCGGGACCGCTCCATTACAGGTGGAGCGCTCTACCAACTGAGCTAACCAGGGGTTAGACGTTGGAAGAGCAAACGGGTTTTATCAGCTGCCACCAGTCTAACACCAACAAGGACCAGGCGGATTTTTTCGGTAGCGCACCAGTCACGTAGCTGTGTTTGGAGATTTATATTTGTCCTTTGTCCCTCTTGTTGCCCTTCTCCAGTGATTATTTTCATCGTTATTGTCCAGCTCGCTTGCACCTTTGCATTTAATTGCATTATAATCATAACCTTAAATTGCAAGCTTCACCCTTGTTGGTGTTAGATTGGTGGCAGCTGATAAAACTCGTTTGCTCTTCCAACGTCTAACCCCTGGTTAGCTCAGTTGGTAAAGCGCTCCACCTGTAATGGAGAGGTCCCGGGTTCGATACCCGGACCAGGCGGATTTTTTCGGTCGCGCACCAGTCACGTAGCTGTGTTTGGAGAGTTATGTTTGTCCTTTGTCTCTCTTGTTCCCCTTCTCCGAGATTATTTTCAACATTAGAAAGGATGATTAAAAAAAAGGTCGGAGGACAGATTCCCAAAACTTTCTTACGAAGAAAAAGTTGGTAAATTTATCTTACGGCAAAGGTGCGAACTTTTGTTTATTCCCGAAGCAAAATGTTCGTAATTTTTGCGTAAGTTA